TATTTTATCAACCACCCTGGAGATGATCTTGAATAGAAAGACATGATAGAAATCCAAATAAATAAATATTTACTAGTGTAGCAGATGATGCAAGAAAGCTTTGATACCACCTGGGATGTTTGGGGCATAGTTCAGTTCTATAGGTTCTGTCATTCTGTTCTTCTCTCTTTTTAAGTTTTATAGTGCAGTGTGGCTCAGTTCAACATAGACTAGCCTATGGTTCTTTGACTAAAGAAAATGTAAGAGGCTGAACCCTTTCTTCTGGTGAATCACCACCAGCTTGGTCCAGAGGGAGCCTTCACAATTGCCATTAAATTGCTCTTTCCTATTGTGGATTTTATGTCATTGCAACATTGCAAATGGAATACAAAATGGTGTATATTTAAGCAAACATATAACAGAAGAGCAGGAGAGAGAGACAACAGAGAGAAGAAATAATGTTTATAGGAACTGATAATTTTTGAAGCTGAGTGCCCCCCCCCATATCCAGCAAAGAGACTGACTATAAACGGAACCTGCTTATCTTTTCTTAAAACCATTTCCCAGACTTTTTACATGCTTGTTTTCCTGTCATTTGATGAGTGATAACCTGTGGAATGCAGAACAAAAATAATAAAGCCGGTCTCTCACCTGGGCTGACCCACAAAGTAATTGCGGCCTGCAACATTCCCTGCTGCGATTAATAGCTGTGGCAACTACCATTTGGCTGAATGGTTAATATGGGTAATAAAGGAACAAACAATTGTTACTTCTACTATCTGTGAGCCGGCATCAATGTTTTATAGAACTGAAGCTGTTTATGAAGGAACATCTTTCTTAAGAAAAAAGAAGTGTTGTTTATGTGAAGATGGCTCATTATTTCTGGAAGAACAAATACAGAGCCTATGAAAGAGAAGTTTGTAGCCATTGCAGGCCAACATTATTTTAACTACTACATCTGCTGTGTCACAGAGGGGGTGAGGAGTACATTAGGATTAAACAAATATATCATGTTTTTTTTAGCCCTTTGGTATACATATGTGAGAACACATTCTCTCTGTGTGTGTTTGTAAATCACTAATTTGGCAGTGGTGGTTGGTGCTCACTGTGGTTGGTGAGGTGGGAGCTATAGTAACCAGTGGCGGATGGAGCTGGGGCAAAAGCAGATATTCATATGTGGAGACTCTCTTATTCCCCCATCTCCCTCCCTCTAGCACACACAGAGATAGCCAAACAAGCATTCACACACATACACCCAAAGGCCCTTTGGTATGGATAGGCATGAGTGGCATGGCTGGGGGTGGCGGTGGGGGGTAACCTGAACCAGAAGTGTGGCATCGGCCTACCTAACCTGATGGAGAAACCACCACTGCCATTTAGATACCTGTTATTGTCATCATTTGGGTCCAGATCTTTGTGTTCCAAGATTAAGCTCCAGGTAAAGGCAGAGAGAAAGACAAGAGTTACCAATAGTTACCAAGAAGTAGCGAAGGCAGTTCTCCTGTTGTTCAGACTTAAGAAGAGGCCCGATCTTTTAGGCCCTTATGACAATCTGACCAACTGATGGTAAAGCGGTATTCTGAATTGCTTTTTGTTTTTATTTTTCAAAAAGGAAAGACAAGTAGGATTGGAAGGGATCTCTAACAGATGTCCATTTGTGGTTGCCAAACTTTTCTCTGTTTAGATGAAATATATAAAAAACTGCTCACTGAGAGTAGGTGTCTTCTGTTCTGAATTCCAAAGGAAAAGATCTTGAGGGGTCTTGACTTGTCACTTCCCTGTGGAGACAGGTGGAGGGAAACAGACCCTGTGAAAAGGATTCAGAGGTGGCATTGGCATGGTACATCATAGTCTCTCCTTATGTTCAAAACCCTCCAACAGTGATACACAATCCCATTCAACCATGGCAGATAAGACAATGTGATAGATAAGCAAGTTCCTAAGGTTGCTGGTAAATAAAGCACTAAAACCTCTACCTTAAAAAAATGCTGGCACCATGCTCCACTGTGGTGATTCAAGTACACTACAAACAAAAGTGCAGGCACATGCCTTCACAATGTGAGGTTTAGTGAGAGCAGCCAAGGACATACATAATGTGTTGAAAGCCCAGTGGAATGGAGATGAAAGAGAACCTCATTCAGCTTGATGTTATGCAGTGTCCTACAATATACTTAAAGGGATTTTCAGCATATTACAAAGAGAAAAAGCAGAGTTCTTAACTGAAAGTGTGAAAAAAAGAGAAGGAATGGCTCATCCTGGTAACACAGATGCTCTTTTTCAGCGGTACAAGGAAAAAAAAACATGCTTACAAAAATTTTTGAAATAAAGGATTTTAAGTGAAAGGCTCATGTCTACTGAAAAGTGCAGAACGTTGCAAAGAAGCATAAAACCCATGGTCTGATTCGGTATTGCTGTATTTCAGACTGTGTTATTTGCAAATTATATGAAGGAATGCCTTTTGGCTTGGAAATATATGGCCTTTTTTCCTAGGGGGGAAAATGCAAACTATGAAGGCAGTGACCACTTCTGTTTTGAAAACATCAGAAGAACTATTCTGTATCAGACCAAGAGCGTACTTGTTCCAACACTCTAGCTACATGGTTGCCAACTGGTTGACTGTGGGAACTCCATCAGGAGAAAATGAATGCAACAGCACACCCTGCTCATACTCCCCTGCAATCACATCTGGTACTGGTAGGAATATGCTTTTTTTGATAATAAGCCTCAAGCTCTATAACCCTTCTATATAGAAGAGTTACTCCAGTCCTTTTATCAGTTTGGTTGCCATTTTCTGCAGTTTGTAGTTCTACAGTACAGTTACAGATATGATAAAACTGTACACAGTGTTTCAAGTCTGGTCACACAGATTTGAGTGTGAGGGCGATTCAGAACTTGAATAGTTACTGAGAGAGAAAAAAAGAATGTGTTACATTCCTCAGTGAACTGATACCCTCTGTACTGATGCTTTTGCTGGCTATGTACTGTAGAAGTAATGTATTCTCTTATGGATTATACAACCTTGTGCTTATAAATTCTCATGAGTCCTTCATCAAAGACCAAAGAAGTCTGCAGCTACCCCTATTTTTCCTATTCCTTTTTTTAAGATGTCTTGTTTTGCTTTCTTTATCAAAGCAAAAGCAAAAGAAGAAAACAAAACAAAACAAAAACTTCCATTGTGCAATTACTTCTGTAGCAGGTGACACCACCCCTCAGTAACATTTAAGGGGAATTATGTATGAAATGCCCTTCCCAAAGTAGGGCAGTGCCAAAGAATGCTCCAACTACCATTCAATTGCACTCATTTCACACGCTAGAAAGGTTATACTCAAAATCCTACAAGGTAGGCTTCAGCAGTATGTGGACTGAGAACCCCCAGAAGTACAAGCTGGATTTTGAAGGGGCAGAGGAACTTGAGACCAAATTGCTAACATGCGCTGGATTACAGAGAAAGCCAGAGAGTTCCAGAAAACATCTACTTCTGCTTCATTGACTACACAAAAGCCTTTGACTGTGTGGACCCCAGCAAACTATGGCAAGTTCTTAAAGACATGGGAGTGCCTGACCACCTTATCTATCTCCTGAGAAATCTATATGTGAGACAGGAAGCAATAGTTAGAACTGGATATGGAACAACTGATTGGTTCAAAATTGGGAAAGGAATAGGACGAGGCTGTATATTGTCTCCCTGCTTATTTAACTTATACGCAGAATATGTCATGCAAAAGTCAGGACTGGATGAATCCCAAGCCAGAATTAAGATTGCCGGAAGAAATATCAATAACCTCAGATATGCAGACAATAGAACTCTGATGGCAGTAAATGAGGAGGAATTAAAGGACCTCATAATGAGAGTGAAAGGTAAAGGTTTGCCTTGACATTTGGTCCAGTCATGTTCGACTCTAGGGTGCGGTGCTCATCCCCGTTTCCAAGCCATAGAGCCAGCGTTTGTCCGAAGACAGTTTCCATGGCCAGCACGACTAGACATGGAATGCCGTTACCTTCCCACCGAGGTGGTACCTATTTATCTACTTGCATTTGCATGCTTTCAAATTGCTAGAATGGCAGGAGCTAGGACAAGAAACAAGAGCTCACTCCATTGTGTGGATTCGATCTTATGACTGCTGGTCTTCTGATCTTGCAGCACAGAGGCTTCTGCGGTTTAACCCGCAGTGCCAGGACGTCCCTTGAGGGTGAAAGAGGATAGTGCAAAAATGGCCTGAAGCTCAACATAAAAAAACCCTAAGATCATGGCCACTGGTTCCATTACCTCCTGGCAAATAGAAGGGCAAGATATGGAGGCAGTGACAGATTTTACTTTCCTGGGCTCCATGATCACTGCAGATAGTGGCAGTAGCCACGGAATTAAAAGATGCCTGCTTCTCGGGAGGAAAGTGATGACAAACTTTGACAACGTCTTAAGAAGCAGAGACATCACCTTGCCCACAAAGGTCCAAATAGTCAAAGCTATGGTTTTCCCAGTAGAAATGTATGGAAGTGAGAGCAGGACCATAAAGAAGGCTGATTGCCAAATTGATGCGATCTAATTGTGGTGCTGGGGGAGACTCTTGAGAGTCCCCTGGACTGCAAGGAAATCAAACCTATCCATTTTGAAGGAAATCAACCCTGAGTGCTCACTGGAAGGACAGATCCTATAGCTGAGGCTCCAGTACTTTGACCATCTCATGAGAAGAGAGGACTCCCTGGAAAAGACGCTGATGTTGGGAAAATGTGAAGGCAAGAGGAGAAGGGGACAACAGAGGTTGAGATGGTTGGACAGTGTCAGTGAAGCTGCCAACATGAATTTGACCCAACTCTGGGAGGCAGTGGAAGACAGGAGGGCCTGGCGTGCTCTGGTCCATGGGAGAGCCACAAAGAGTCAGACACGACTTACCAATTAAACAGCAACAACATGTAGGAACTCCTCCATAGACGTGCACAAAAAGTTAATTTGTCCTTTGTTAGATAATAAGCAAGGCCACTCATCAGGTTTTTCTGCATCTTTTCTTTTTGCAGGCATTTTGGAATCTCTCTCTCTAACTTTGATGATCATGGATTTAATTTTATGAAGTAATACCATAGGCAAAAAGAACCTCAGCTAAATTGATGTAAGCTTTATTGAAATCATATCATGGGGTTCCGTCTGTTTATAAAGTTTTAAACAGTTTTAAATTGCTTATAGATCATATAATTTCTTGTGCACACTGTGCACTAGTGAAATTAATTTATTTGGACTTCAAAGTGAGTTTTTTGAACCAACTGACACAGGCTTTTTAAAATAATTTGCTTGTAAATTGATTTAAATCACTTCCGTTTGGTGGGTGTGGATAGTACCATCAATTTACTTTATGTGCCTGTTTAATGTCAGCCATATTGCTACCATGGCTTCTACTCGCATTTTTGTTAAAATTAGTTATAATACTATTTAACAATGTGTTGGTTACTGCCTTTTTATGTTCTCAGCTCATTAGCCATTGATTTATTGTTCTATCACTTTTTTAAAAAATAAAATAAAAAGGGAGACAGTTATAAAAACCGACTCCTAAAGAAGAAAGGAAATGAATTGATTTCATTGATGTAAATGCCAAACTGGTTTAAATCACTAGAAATAAATTGATTTCCATTAACTGAATGTGATTGTGGTGTCTGAATAAATGCCACATGGCACTGAACATGATTTTAAGAAGCCTGAACAGAAATGAGTTCAAATTAGTTTGTTGGTTTTATATTTGAATAACTTTTATGTACTACTTGCAAAGGCATATGGCTAATGCAAATAAGGAATACTACTACTACTACTACTACTACTACTACTACTACTACTACTACTACTACTACTACTACTACTAATACTAATACTAATACTAATACTAATACTAATACTAATAATAATAATAATAATAATAATAATAATAATAATAATAATAATAATAATAATAATAATACCACCACCACCACCATTCAGAATGTTACCTTCTAAAATGGAACATTAAAAGACCGTACGAATGATCCTGAACTTTGAAGAAGGACCATTGCTAAACTCAAATGTCTCTAAACTTGTCTGGAAAATTCTATAATGTGGGGCATGGTGCCATTCCTATATTTTTTTTTCTGCCATTTTTAGGATTGCCTCTCCATCACTACCTCCCCAGTGCCTCACAATGACACTAGACAGAAGGCATGGGGAGGAGGCAAAATGGTGAGCACATTGTGAAAATGGTTGCTGTCGTTCTCACTTTCGGCAGCAATAAGACTTCTTGGGAAAACTTAACACCACTCTCCTACGAATGCTGCTACTGATGGAGCCACACTTGTGAGAAACTATGGGGGAATGGCTCCTGCCTTTGGGGGGTGGGAATCAGTGAAATAGGCAACTCTTTTCAGTTTCTTTGCCCTCACATAGGGCAGAGAATTACAAAAAGCTGTCTGTGCATGACTGTAGTTTGTTCTGGCATCATAACTGGTCTTTGCTAGATTTGCTATGTATGCATGTGCTCTTGAATGCAACTCCCCTCAGTAATTTAACAGCAAAAATCAGTGAGAGGAGTGGAACATCAGGAATGGCAAATTTGACAACTCCAGTGTAAATATAGGCTCGTCAGCATTTTGTTTTTAAAAAGTGACATTCTAAATTTCTTGAAGGTACAGTAAAGACAATTATTTACATTGTAACATGCATCAGAAAACAGGAGGTCTTCCTGATAACGAGGAACAATAGGTGTACTGTATGTGTCATCTTCATTATCGATAACACAATTTCATGTTAACTATTTAATCTGACAATTATTTTAGCACAGTCTGCATGTTGTATCTCATTCCAACTAGTTGAACACATGAGTGTGTGTGTGTGTGTGTGTGTGTTTACGCAGCCAGTCACTGTAAACATCTGAATGTTCATTGTCATCACAGCGTGTAGGAAATTAACAATGAAATGTCTGCTATTTTCTAATTTCTTGCTCCCTGCTCAACAAACGTATTCCCAGGTGCCTCATTCACTTTACAAGCAGATGTGAAGGCTCATAAACTCAATTACAGCCCGAAGGAATGAGACATTCTGAGAACTTTCTGTTGCTAAGGTAACTCATCCTCTGTTCATTAGTGTTTGGTATGCTTCTCTGGGTCTCTTGTTTGGCATTTGTGAAACTACATATATAAGGAACAGAAACAGAAAAGTGAGGAAAGTAGATATTACCGCTGGGCAAATCTTAATTGAGGAATGGGGCAGTAACTGGAGGATCCAATTTCTACTCTACTACACTATAACTGAGCTTCAGAACTGCACAGTAAACTGCAGAGTCTTCTCATCAGATGGGCATGCATTATGCTGCTGACCACTTTGTCTGCACTCTGGTGTCACACAGTGGCAGAGTTCCATAACCTTTATTTCTAAGGTCTGGTTGTAGTGTCAGACTGAAAAGTGAGGCTCATCTTGTAAAGGCAGGCTGATTTTCGTCATAGTTCATAAAACCTATTCCCTAGCCAGCCTCTACAAAAACCCAGGGAGGGAATTTACTTTTATATCACTTCAAATTAGTAGCTGCCCAAACAGAAATCAAGGGAAAAAAATAAGAAAACATGTGTCCTATAAGTGGCATTGGCAACAATTTTGCCATGCTTTAAGGGCCTGCAGTATTTCTGCCCCCACACCCTCATTTTAAAGATTTTTTTCCTAGAGAGGACAAGAGGGCTTTTATTCATTGCAAAAAAAAGCTCCCTATTTTTGTAAATCTGGGGGAGGCTCACAGAGCGTGTATGGCCCTTTTGATCCAGGTATCTCGGGGGGGGGGCGTGTGGAAGATGCCTACCCTTTGTTCAGGGCAAACAAGATTTATATTGCAGCAGACTGCTTTAAGTGAAACGTCTGACAAGGGAGGAACATGAGACAGAGAGCTACACATTTCCTTTTTAGTTTATTTTTAATTAGAATTTTCGAAAACCTGCAAATTTTGAATGTGGGTGAAAGCAGATAGATTTCCATACCCCTAAAGATGAGTGACATCTTATATACAGTGGTGCCTCGCTTGACAATGTTAATTCATTCCAGCAAAATCGCTGTAGAATGAAAACATCGTCAAACGAAATAAAAAAACAACAACATTGGAACGCATTGAAACCCGTTCAATGCATTCCAATGGGCTGAATACCTGCTCATCTAGCGAAGATCCTCCATACGGTGGCCATTTTCGGTGCCTGTAAAGCGAGGAATCCATCCTAGAAAACAGCGGGGGGGGCATTTTCTTCAGCCGGTGGCCATTTTGAAACCTGACGATCAGCTGATTGCTGATCATTGTAAAGCGAAAATTGGTTCCCGAAGCAGGGAACCGATCATCACTAAGCGAAATTCCCCCATTTAAACCATCATTTGGTGATCGCAAAAACGTTAACGTAATGCGGATTCGTCATAGAGCGGGGTAATCGTCCAGCAGGGCACGACTGTACTCCTTTGTCTCAGAAGCCAATATGACATTTGGTTGTCACAAAAAGCAAATATTAGCCAAAATCCTGTTGCATAGCTATGCTGGCACAGTGGGAGTGACATCAATGGCACTGGCAGATTGCCACTAATTAAAGTGTCCTATTACAATAAACATTAAATATGTGGCTTTTGTCTTAGGGACTGCCAAATATTTCATGCAACCAGTTCTTTTAATGACCCCATGGCTAGCCTGCAAGATTCTACTTTGTTACACTCATAACATAGACCTAACATGGTACCAGAATAATTTCTTTTCCTAATCTGCTCAGTATGGCTATCTGTATTGATTATATTATGTAAATATTTTTGCAATAACAAAAGAATATTAAAAAATATTTCTAGAGATCTAAAATTCCTGAACTATCTGTAATTCCAATGTTTGTGATTTAGTATCTGGCAAGCTGTCACTATGTCATTATTTTGACTACAATTTTGCAGAGCTCGGGGGAATAAAGGCCAGTGGCATAAAAGTTCTAGACCTCCCAAGACCTGGAAATCCAGGATATTGCTGTGACATAATATTGTAACTCCAAGATCTTGAAACCACAAAGAATGTATATGATAAAACCTGTACCCTTCATTTACGTTTGGGCAGCATTTGCCAAACAAGTTCAACTGGCAGGATTGTTCTGATACAGTGGCCTTGCTTACTTGAAGTTAGCTAATTGTTTTGAAATAGTTATAATAATCTATTGCTCATGTTTCAATTTCAGGGCTGCTTCTTCCATACCTCCCCTTAATTATTTTAACACTCTATTCTCACAAGATTTTAAACCTTGACATAGAAGCTTGGATATTTTTCATGTTCCTTTTTATGTTTATAATGCTGTTGTTTATTAAGATATCAGCATTAACTTTGTTACAACAACATGGCACAATGAAGAACAAACAGAAAATGCAAATCCTTGTGTTAATACAGAAATAATTAGGACCAGCTGTGGACAATTAAAAAGGGTGATCTCATTGAAGGAGAACAGTAAGTATCAGTACTCTAGACCAAAATGGCATAAATGAGGACTTTGTCTTATAATATCAATCACCTGGGAACAATTAGGTAGAGATATTGCATCATTAACAGAAGCAAAGAAATAAATTTTGAAATACTGACATTGCAGGAAGCCTATTATCAAAGCAAATAAGGAAGGAATATTTAAATGATAAAAATTATGTACTCACCTTTCTTGGTGGGTGGAGACCCAAGGAATGAATGGTGGCAATCTTATGGTCAAAAACATTTCCAATGATGATAAGTGGGGTGGATAAAAAGATGAAGGTCTTTATGTTAAAAAGCACAACTGAAAGGCAGAAAATCACACTGGGAGCTGATTATGTCCCAAATAAAAAAGCAAGCAAAAAATTTAATGTAAGTTTCTGGGGAAATCAAAGCATTTGCAGAAGAGGAAATAATAATGGAAGGAATTATAACGTAGTGTTAAATGAAACCTTGGGTAAATTTTAAAAAATGGCAAAAGACCCTCAATAGAGATTGGCATGGACCACATTTCTGTGGGCTGGCCACACAACTGTTCTGCGGGTGCCTTGGCTTCCCAGCCCTACCTCCTCCAGTGGCTGCTTGCTCAGAGGTAGAGGTGTGGCATCCCAGCCCTGTTTCTTCCAGGTGCTGCCACTGAGTGGAGATCTGCCAGAGGATTCAGGGCTGGGAAGCTGTGTCACTGCCTCTGATTGGGTGATGGTCAGAGGAGGTGTGGCAAGGGAAGCACCCGAGGCACTCAGCCGTGTGGCCAAACCACTGAAACACATTGAACCTTTGCTGAACCACAGATAGGATAAAAGAATCAACATAACAGTTTTAAACAAAATATCTGGCCAGAAGCATCAGGATTGATCCTCTAGAACATTGGTCCCCAACCTTGGGCCTCCAGATGTTCTTGGACTACAACTCCCAGAAGCCTTTACCAACATATTTGCTGGCCAGGATTTCTGGGAGTTGAAGTCCAAGAACATCTGGAGGCCCAAGGTTGGGGACCACTGCTCTAGAACTCTCATGTTGTTATACAGGAAGTTTGATAGAGTTGGAATCAGAAAGAAAGAAAGAGAGAAAAAGGTAGACTAGATATACAGAAATAGATGCAGATTCTATAACAAAGGGAAGATTCAAATAAGACATCCAAGATGGCAGCTGTGGAGGGTCCCTATGGACCAAGCTCTTCATTGTTGTGGATTTATTATAGATAATTCAAGAAAATTCAGTTCAATAATTTTACTGACTTATCATTGAGGGCATGTACTGGGTATATCAGTCTTCAAAGCTCCATGGTGAGTATTTTGTCAGAATTGAAAATGCTAAAACAATTGAGAGCAGTGTTATTATCATTGGATGTAGATAAAACTGCAGAACTCATATATCTTGAAAGTCAGATCTACGAGTATGGTAATAAGAACCTATGTTTGCTGTCCAGTGCATAAAAGAAAAAAAAAGCAACAAGAAACAGTGTAAGTCAAATTACAGGTGATGCAGGACAACTTCCCAGTGAGAAATAAATAAGAAATTTGAACAATTTTAGGAAAAAGGTATATATTTCAGAAACTAGAAGGATCTAGTTTACATCTCAATCAGTGAAGAATATACATATACTAAATAAATCAATAAGAGAACATGAAATTAAAGCAGCAACACAAAGATTAAAACTAGGTGAGTCCCCTGTATTGGACACATTACAGCAAAAAAAATTTACAAGCATTTTGCAAATATTCTAGTCCCACATTTTCTGCAATTGGACAGTGGTATATTGGAGGGAAGAGATACACCAAGGTCATGCATATATAATGGAAGTGCCTAAACACAACAGTGATAAAAGCAGTGCTGGGGCCTTTAGACCTATAGCAATGCTCAACCAAGATCTTAAAAATCTTAGGATGATACTAGCCAACAGAATAAACTGATTCATAAGGAATCTTAATCATAACCAAAACAGATTTATATAGGGAAGTTATTTAGCTGACTTCATACAACAGGTGTTAAATGTAGATAACCATAATATTGACACAAAACAGAAGACCAAGCTTATGATGAAAGACTGAAAGAAATGGACATGTTTAGCCTTGAGAAAAGAAGACTGAGGGGAATATGATAGCACTTTTCCAATAATTGATAGTTGTACAGAAGAGGGGAAGGATCTGTTATCAGTCATCAAAGAGTGCAGTACACGTAATAGTGGTCTCAAGTTACATGAAGCTGAATATCAGGAAAAACCTCTTTACTGTTAGAGCAGTATGACAATGGAACCAATTACTTCAGGAGGTGGTGAGTGGTCCAATAATGGAGGCATTCAAGAGAAAACCATATGTCAGATCTGCTTTGATTTAGATTCTTGCATTGAGCAAGAGGTTGGACTCGATGGCTTTGTAGGCCCCTTCCAACTCAATTATTCTGTGTCTCTATGAATCTCTTGTTAGATGCATTGAAAGCATTTGGCATGGTGGAGTGGCCCTATCTACCCTTGCTGGAACACTTAGGTTAGAGAGATAAATTTATTAAATTGATGGAAACTTATATGGAGGATCCAATGGAATTATTTGAACTCAGTACCATTCAAACTACATAGAGGGACAAAGTAAGGCTACCCTCTGTGTTTACAATTACACTGGAGCCTTTAGCATCACAAATAAGAGATGACAATTAGAGATGAGGGCATTCGTATACAAATATCCCCCCACAGGTGGAGATAACAAGGGTCCAACCCCATGGATCCAGACTGTCCACTCATGATTATGCCTCTGCCGTGAGCTGAATGGAGCCTTCCTATCGCTCCATTACTTGTGATGGATTGGCCAGTCCTGGCAGAAGGCAGGTTGACATGCCTCTCTGCGAGGTCACAGAATGGCTAATCCATTGTGAGCAATGGAGCAATAGGAAGGCTTTGTTAAGCTCATGGCAATCATGAGTGCACAGTCCCCACTCGTCCACCTTCGTTATCTCCACCTGTGGGGGGGGGGATATTCGTATATGAATACAAATACCCCCATCTTTAATGACAATGAAATAAAAAGGCTACAAATTGGAGGAGGGGCTTACAAAACCAACCTTTATGTGGATGATACTCTGTTGTTCCTAATCCAACCACAGAACTCAATGAGAAAGTTACAAACATACCTACTTGATTCATTCAAACCTTGATAAATCTTGTGCCTTAACATAGGACTAGCAGAGTGATAATTGCTTATTCTTATGTTAGATACCAGGGTATAAAAATAACAAAACAGATACAGAAACTCGTGCCAAGAAATTATAAACAGATCATCAGCTAGGTTAATACAAAAACACAACAATTTGCTAAATTAAAGTCTTCCATGCTATAGTAGCAAGCAAGGTGCACATACTACCAAAGATAGAATTTCTGTTCCAAACAATTCTGCTAAACCAAGGGAACAATACATTTTAAAAGTGACAGAGACTGTTAAACAAATTTGTATTTGGAGTTAAAAAACAAACTTGCACAAGAAAGGAGAAAAGAGAGGATTGTCAGTATTTCACTTATGGTATTGTTTTGCAGCATTTCAAGCACAAGAGTTAACTAAGCTAATAAATAAATGACAGCGTAATACAATGGGTGAAAATAGAAGCAAGATATTTAGAATCACAACCAAAGGTGAGCCTATTCAATGCTTATATGAATAAAATGTCATGAATGGAAGCAATGGAATCATATACTTGCCCCAACTCTTTCCCCAATAAGGTTAATCTCAAAGCATCCCCACTTCAATGAAATGTGTAAAATGTTCCTGTGACGTTTGCCCTTTGTGGCCCCTGCTTGTCTCCCCAAACACAGAGCTCCCAAAGGCACACCAAAACCTCTTGACACGCTGCCACCAGTGGATCTCCTTATCAAAGTACTTTACTTAGGAAAGATGAAGATCCATTCAGTGCTGACTAATTAATAAAATAGGTTTATTGATTACAGATGATTTCTAGGATAATTCATAAGCATATTCTTTCAGTTTCACCAAGCATCAATATTAATTTTCTATATTAAATATCACAGGTTACTAATCACTCATCAGATGCCAAACTATCCTTCTCTCAGATTCCTAACACAGACTCAACTCTGACTCAACTCTCAGACTCACTGACTCCTCCTCTCAGGCTCCACCTCTTAACATCTCTTGTGGCCCTGCCTCTTAGCCACATTCGCATATAACTCATGAATATTACATATTATATAACTTAGGGTGAACACTAGAGTTACATTTAGAAAAGTGAAAAGAGAGTGGAATCAACAGAATAAAATACCTGTTTAGCAGAGGACTCCCTTTAACAAAAGAACAATTCATTCTTAAACTAGCAAAAAACCCAGACCCAGTTGCCTGCATATAATCAAGTCTGTTTCAACAACACGGTAATGAAAAATGAAGGGCCACTGCATTCTGTCACGGGGATTGAGACACTATGTATACAGGTGGAAAGTAATTAGAAGGGACAAATCTTTAAAATATATACTTGGATACTTGATATGAGATATGCAGGAATGCAAAAAGCCAAATTAGCTTCAGAAACAGACTCTTTACAAAGCAGCAATGGGAGAAAATAATGGTAGGTAATGCTACCATTTAAAACAGTTTCAGCCCAGATCAAGGAGAATGCCTTAAAAACCATTCTAAGATGCCCGCTACAACTGGGCGTCCACTTACAGATTACAGCACGACAAGTTCTGCCATTGTTCTTCTCTGCATAAATCAAGGAAATAGACTGGCTGGGACTTCCATGCCTCCCTGTGCTGCTGACCAAACAGCAGCTGTGTGGAGAGGCTT